GACAGACATCCAGATCTGGTGCTGAGCAGGCAGACTCAGTAATCGAGAGATGTCGACAGTGAAGATCACAGAAAGTACCCGCATGTGTCCGACGGCATTCCTCTGTGAACAATGAGTACAGCTCTGTGATCTTGATGAGCAAGTTGACTTACCAAGATGTATTAGGATCTAGTAAAGCCCAACTGCATGTTTCCTTTGGTGTGTTGCATGTACATTCTCAGCAGTCTGTCCACGATAGTCTGCCTCTCTCTCTTTGGGCTCACCTTGGCGAGCACGGGCTGGTTAGCACCAGACTTACGGTCTCCCAAGGCACTCACTTTCCAATCTTCCAAGTCACCAACACATCAATACATTCGGCTACTATTTCGTGCGGGTTGGCCCCCGCATCGCTGTGTTGGAGTTTTGGTATTCGGACCCGGGAAACACTACACTCGGTAACGCCTTTGGCGACTTCAAATGCGCAACAGGAGGGAGAGACGAACGCTGCTGCGGTGGCTGCAGCAACCAATGAACGGCGGATGCTACAGGAGCTGCGAGCTTCGCAACAGACTGGCCAGATCCAGCGCCTGACGTTGTCGCAGCCAGCGTTCCAGCTGCAGCTGAGCTGGCGAGTCGACGAGACCGAAGAGATGAAGACCGAGGCTGCGGAACGATGGACCGCCAGTCTATACGCGAAGCACGAACACCTCGAGTCCCGACAGCTCGCTCGTCTTGCGCAGCTGTACAGTGCACTACACGCAGCTGCGCTGCCAGCGCCATCTCCGTCCAGACCGCACGACGAGAATGAAGAAGATCTTGAGAGTAAGGCGCCGCTCTGGAGACGAAACTCGTGCACTACTTCGAGGACGAAGATAGTGACGAAGGAGAAGAAGACGAACGTTTACTACACAAGATGCTACGTCCTCTTACCGCATCTCTGATCGAGGCAATTGAGCGAGACACGAGCTCGCTGATACAGCTGCGTCTTGGTGGGAGTCCGATGGAGGAAAGTAATGCCGAGGACAGAGAGGAGATCATGTGGACGAGCTATGCGGTGGCCAAGGTGTTTCACGGGCTTACGACGCCGCAACTCCCGACACGACAGTGGCGCTGGCGTCGCTACTCCGACGTCGCCTTCGAGCGCATCGTACAGATTGCAATCAGAGTGATCTTAGACTGCAGAGTGTAGGTCAACTTCAATGTCGTAAAAACTCGTAAATACGCTTAGTCGCACTTAAATGAACAAACCGGTATAATATCGGTGATTCCAAATATCCTGAGCGGGTTAGGGATCGAAAACGTGGCGATGGTGTCCTGTCAGTTCCGATTCCTCCCCACGTGCATTGACTCGCATCTCGTCGCTATGTCCCTCGCCGCTGTACCCACCACCTCGCTTCTCTCAGAGCTGCAGAAGCGCATCGAGTGCGCCAACAAGAAGGAGCGCCGTACCATCTTTATCGGTATGCAATAACAGCCTCCATGCTTCCAATTAACCACGGGGATCCGAAGACATCAATTGACTAACTCGCTCTTATTATCGCGTTTACAGGACCCCCTGGCTGCGGCAAGGGTACGCAGTCGCCTCGTGTAAAGGACGAGTACTGCCTGTGCCACTTGGCTACCGGTGACATCCTGCGTGCCGCTGTGGCCGCTGGCACCGAGATGGGCAAGAAGGCCAAGGCCGCCATGGAGTCGGGTGCTCTCGTGACCGACGAGATCGTGGTCGGCATCATCAAGGACTCTATCAAGAGCCCCGATTGTCGTCGTGGCTTCATCCTTGACGGCTTCCCGCGCACGGTCGTGCAGGCCAAGAAGGTGCGTACATTTAATGCCGCGAACACGTGTGGATTAGAGGCTCACTCTGCTGTTTATGCAGCTCGACGAGATGCTCTCTGAGGAGAACGTTCAGGTGGACGCTGTCGTGAACTTCAACGTGCCGGACAAGGTGTTGGTGGAGCGTATCTCGGGTCGCCGTGTGCACCCGGCCAGTGGCCGCAGCTACCATGTTAAGTTCGCTCCGCCTAAGGTGGAGGGTAAGGACGACATCACCGGTGAGCCTCTGATCCAGCGCAAGGACGACAACGAGGCCACTCTGGGCTCTCGTCTCGAGGCTTTCCACAAGCAGACGCAGCCTGTGATCGACTTCTACCGTAAGCAGGGCAAGCTCACCGAGGTGAACGCCCACACGGACATGGACAAGGTCACGGAGCAGATCCGCAAGAGCCTCGGCACGGACTAGATTGTCGCTAGTAGAGCAGGCTATGGCAGTTTTGTATAGAGCTGCAAATGCTTGGACGTTGCTGGCTATGGCAGCTCAAACTCCAAGCATCTTTTACCCACAGCTGCATGGATATCGAATACTTAAGTACAAGATGCATTTGCTGTAGTTGATGTTGAGGTCAAGGCGGTTAACGTGTTATACCATTCTAGGCCAGCTTGCGTTTCGTTTGGTGCTACGTCAGTACCGCCCAAAATACCGGTATCAACACTAGTGTTGTTTTTTACCAAGTTAATAAACGGGTAATAGCTTACCGCGGTAGTTTATACAGTTAATAGGGAATGGTATTAACTATTTGGGTCGTTTTTTGCACATATTAAATTTTGTTGGCAACTCACATTTTTATCTTTACACTTGCGAGGCGCCACGTCAGCCTGAGCAATGCGGCGGCTAGAATGCGACCCCGTGGAAGTCTGAAGCAGCCCGAAATGGATGTCCCCTGGAACAGCGTCAGCGGTAGCTGCATCGTGTACCTAATATCATAAAAAGTCGCGGGTGCGACCCAGTCAGCTTGCTGTAGGAGCTGGACCCATATTATCGCTCTTGGGTGGGGCTGCCACGCTGTGGTGCAGGATTTAAAATAGGCAACCGGCTCTTGATATGCTTAGGCCGGCAAGAATCTCCCGAAAAAGAAGATAAAGGAATGTCTTAATGGAAAAAGTAATCACTATGGCGCGGCATCACGATGTGGTATTTCTTGGTGATACAAGCGGGCGGCAAGAAGACCCGTCGTCACTCCATCGAAAATATGCCTCGTGTATGAATGTAGTACGATCCGTACTGTACGAACAAAGATCTATGATGCGCACGAGCTTTACTAACCTGATGCTATCCAAGTAGCAGATAGAGACATTGCTTAGCGAGACCGCCAACACTATAAGTGCTGAAGTCGGCAACAATACTCATCCCTACAGTAGCCAAAGAGCAGATCAATAACAAAATTATCGTAGTACTAAGCAGTTTCGCATTTGCAGCTGGAGCAAGACGCTGTGAGCTACCTACAAACCTGAAAGATCAAGTGACGAATAAATGAGGACTAACAAGAGGCAATGATCAGATGTTGGACTCAAGCTCCCATAGTTCCA